CTTTACATTGTTTAAATCAAACCACTAGAAGTACTTTAATTTTTGTCAGTCGCTAAGGTCGTTTTGATTAAAAATTAATAGGGTTTGCCTTAATGAAAAATCGATTATTATGTACCCATTTAATAAACCTGAGACGCAGTTAAAAAAAATTCCATAAAAATAATTTAGGGTGTAACAAAAAAATGATGGCTAGTTAAGAATACAATTTTAACTTACTGAAATCCTTTATATTTAACTTGACGCTCTTCTCCTGTGAGTGGATCTCTTAGTTTCAGATCATATCGAGCATATACAATTAATTGACATAATTTACGAAATTTTGATTCTCTTGGAACAATAAATAAAGGGGTGTCAAACAATGGATGATTCTCTCGTAAATCTTCCTCTCGTTGATTGCGTCTCATTTCTGCTTGCTGTCGTTTAGCTTGCAACAACTTGATATCGAGATCATGGGGTCTAGCACGTGTGGCTGTAGCTAAACGATTCATGCCACCAATATCTCCATTTTCCATGAGGTGTTCATATGTCTGTTTGAGTTTCATTGATCCACGACGAATACTATGTCTCATGGATCTTGATATCATTAAAATATTTAAATGCATTAATAATAATAATAATAAATTATTTAATATTTGTAAATATAAATATTAAATACTTTTTATGATCCATTCGTGTATGTTGCATATTATTAACAGTGCCTTGAGCATGTAAACCACCTTTATTACCAGAATTTGGAGGCAAAAATGTTGAATCTCCCAAAAGCAAACGTTGGTTATTAGAATCACTATAATAATTAACAAATTATGATTATTAAAAACCAATTATTCGTCACAATACTAAAATATTTTGAGCATTTACTTAATTATGTTTGATATAATTGATTTACGAATTTCTGGTGTTACTATTCGCACTTTCGGTGGATTGGATAATAACCGCATGGGATGCTGCTTACGAGTCATCAAGGGAGGTTTGACTACTTCATTTGCTTTATTTATACTATCTGTAGAAATTTCTTCATCACTTTTATCTAAAACAAACTGTCTCATAAAACTTTCACGAACCTAAAAAAAAAAATGTATCATTCAAAATTAATAATGATTAATATTAGGTTTTGTTTTATACATAGTTTAATTTGAAATATTACTTTAGGCAAATTAAAATCAGATGGTTGCTTATGTATGGAAGTCATTTTAGGGCGGTCAGGAAATTTTTCAAAAATTCTTAATCTAAATGGCAGTGTTTCTTTGATTTCGGCACTTTGTTCACGAAAACGTAATTGTTTTAATTTTTTTAATTCTTCGTCTAGTTCAAGGTTATCCAAAATTACAGCTACGAAAAGACTTAACACAATCTAATAAAAAATATGGGTCTTAGCTTATTAAAATGTTCTGAGTTTCAAAAAAAATAATAATTTTCTTACAAGTGTAACAAACAAATGATAGAGAATAAAGTAGACAGCAACTAATGGTACTAATGTCTTACGAGTCCTTAACATTGTTTCATCCATAACATCAACCCAGGCTTCTTGAGTAAGAATTTGAAACATGGACATGAAGGCCTATAAAATATAAATACATGTTACAATTTTAAATACATTTTCATTAAAGACTTACTTCTGGGAAGGTTTCAAACTTTGGAAAATCGCATAAAAAACAAAATAGTTGCATGGAAATTCCAGATGAAATTACTAATAAACACAAAGTAAATATGATAAGGCTACCCAGTTTTTTTCCAGGTCCAAATATCTTGTATACAAAATCTTCTAACATAGGCGAAGCTTTGATTAATCGAACAATTCTTAAAACCTAAACATAAATTGATTATAATGCATACTTAAGTACTGTTATCTTATTATCAACTTCAATAATGAAGAATAACAAACCTGAAAATAAGTTAATCCGGATAAATAAAACTGTGGGAAAATATGTAAAGTAGTTCCAACAGCTAGCATTAGTTCAAACTTATGGTATGAATGTTTGAAATATTCTTTAAATCCGAGTAAAACCATTTTAAATAATGTTTCAAAGTTAAATATTATTGTATATACAACCTGGAATAAATTAATAGAAAAGTGAATATCAAACTTACAACAAACATTAAAAATGATTACTTCAATATAATAGTATTGTTGATAGAATTCTTCTCTTTTTCGTCCATCATGCTTAAAATTCATTGTAGCCATAGCAATTCCATTACTTAGTATAATGCACATAACAAGTAATCGAAACCAAGCAGAGTTAAGAATTTTATGTCCTAATGGTGATGCTAAAGTTCGATGTTTGTTCTGTTCAGGAGTAACTAATCTCCAGCCATTTTCATCACTAACTAAAATCTAAAAGTGTTATAAATATATTATATTTATTATATTCAATTTAATAAAAATGTCAAAATATTTATGATTTTACTTCAGTGGATGTTTTGTTTCCAACATGTCTTCTACTTCCCCACAATTGTTGAAATTGCACACGCATTTCATTAAATGTCTCCGTTATTACAGCAATAAACACATTCTTAACTAACCATGCTAAGAAAAATATTAATGTAGAAAAGTAAAAAATTGCTCTCCATGCTGGAAGACTATCAAATGTTCGAAACATTATATACACCCAACCCTCTTGTGATGCAGCTTGATATACAGTGAAAATACTTGTTGCTAAAAATAATATATAATAATATAGATATTCATATTTAGAAATTTAAAGTACATATAAAAGCATAATAATTTACCAAATTCATCAAATCCACTGAAGCCAGTTATGTACCTTGACAACTCTAATTTCATACATTTCATACCTTCCGGACACTGATATCCAGCACCTGGTTCCTTAGAACAGAATGAGTCTGGTATGGCTAAATTATTAAGAGTTACACGCCTGTTGAGTAATTTAAAACATATTATTATATAATATACTGTAATAAATACATTTAAAAAATTGAATTACGTTGGATCTGTTGTATTAAGAACACAATGGTTTTTCATTTCACCAAAAAGTTGAACACCGAGTACACCATACAAAGACATAAAAAACAGGAAGAACAGTGTTACATTGTAGATTTGTTGACTTGATCGCCTAGAAGAATTAAATAAAATGTAATTCAAACATAAGAAATAATAAATATATTTTAAGATTTCGTACTTGAAAATTTGATTTATCCTAGATTTTGGCATTGAGAATTTTAGGAAGACACGTATAAATCGGATCATTATGAAAGGCCTCGGTGCTCGTAGTATTGATAAGTAGCTAAATTCGGGTAAAAATTCCACAATTTCAAAAATCTGTAAAATTACAGACACCCAAAGGAAAAACGCCATCGTGCCATCGAATTGACACCAGTGGTCTTTCATGTACGGCGATTCTCCCTGGAAAAAAACAGCAATGATATATAAATCCTTTGGTGGGTGAAAAAAATCACAGATACCTTTAATATCCCGCGAATATGCATTTTTGCTATCATTTCGGCGGTGTACAAACCAGTGACGGCAAAATCGCAGATGAACGTCGCATACTGTAGAAACGGAAAAGCCTTAAAAGTTTTTGGAGTGTTGAGACTGACGCAGAGTAAGCTCAGTAGCGCGCAAAAGCGCATCAACCGTCGGACCCAAAGCTATAGAGATCAAGCATGCAGGGTTAATGTAGAAAATATTATTATGCTTGAAGGGCTGTCAAATTTACCTTATTCACCCAATCGATTTCAGCGTTCTCGTTTAGAGATTCATCCTGAACATAGTCAGGAGCCATTATATCCGCCCGGATGCTCTGTTTACGGCCCAACATGCCTTAAATTGCCTCACATTTTCGCTTTTGGTCCGGACCAATCGGACCTTTTGGTCTGGACTAGTAGACTCCAAACTTCTGACTTGGGAGAGTCGTTAACCGTTCGCTGGTAAGGACGGCGCAGTGCAAAGCAAACTGCAAATTCGGTATTTCGGTATTCTTAATTCGTAATCGTTATCGTCCACTAGAATCTCGGATTGATTAATTTCTTTTTTGACGATAACGGGAAACACTTGATAACATATTATCATACTTTTTCAAGCCACGGGATCATGGACAAGAAATTAAACTTACATAATATATATATTATATATATATACTTACTATGCTTACTATGAACCAATTAGAACCAATAGACTTATTAAATATTAACTAAGTTTTAGTTTATAGACCTGTGCTATGAATTATATTATGGAATTATATCAAATATTTTTTTAACAGCATAACTCTATTTTATTAATTGTTTTACGACATTGCAGTTTATTTCACTTGCGATCACAGATGGTAAATTTTAACCGGTACTCGGTAGGTATTCTGTAGTACTAACTTAATTAACAACAACCATAGTAATTTAGAACAATATGTCATGTATCTAATGTGTATGACAACAACTTACAGTCTACAGATTGACTAGAGACTACCTCAGAATCTCAGATCATATACAAATACAAGTGTCAAGTAGTCTGTTGTATCTGAGTGCTGAGTATAGTAAATTCTCTTATCTATGGTCACAAACGCGCGGCCTACGTTGGAAAACCGGCAACGTCGCACAGTCTCCTCCACCAGACTGAACTCACCAACGTCGACCACAAGCTGAGCCAATCGAAACCTTCGCCGCCGGTGCACAGCGCGGAGCGAGTAATCCGGACGTTTTATTCAAACGAAAAAAAAAATCGGCTTCAAAGATAAAAGTTTGCCGGCTGACGACTGTGACAGTGTGACAGTCCGACTGTTGTAGTTCATTGCGTTTATGATTTTCGTCATCGTCGCGACAAACCCGCGTTCGTCCCAGAAATAATTATTGCCAATGTTTTTTAATTAATTAACCGTTTCCGTTTTTGTCGTTTAATTTTTTCCAAACTATTCGACGATACCTTTATACATTTGCACCAGTTGTTTGTAACACAATCGCACCTCGAAACTGTTATCGTCGGCCGTCTTTGGGCAATTTTTTTTTTTCGGCCCCAGACCGACGAGCGTCGTTTCCGTCAGAATTATAACAACATGTGGAACGACGGTTACCATCATCACAGCTGCAACAGAAACGGTATCTGTTCGTTTTACAGAAGGAGGCACGTCTACAGGGACTTTCAGTCGAAAATGAAATCCGTTGAACAGGGCACGCCGTTACCTATAATGCAGGTCAGTGCAACGCGTGACAATAATAATAGCATAATTATTATTAATTATCACTAATCACTATTCAATAATCGGTATAAGTACGCGGACGGCTGGCGGGTAGAATATAATTGTCGTCGCGAAATGGTATATCATTAACATATTTGCATTAAATAACAAATATCGGTCGTACACCATCGGCATGACCAAGTTTGGTTCGGTCCGGGGGCGGACCACCACGGACCGGTTGCGATTTGCGGTGACCGGGTCGCGTAGCCATTTGCTTGGTGGGAGGTTAGGAGGAGTAGGCGGTGGCGTTCGGTTTTCGCTTTCTTTCTGGCCGGCGAGTTCTATTTGCGGTTCATCGAGTCCTGGTTTTCACGTGTGTTTTTCTATACTATTATTTAATAATATTATTTATTGTTGTGGTCTGCACCTGCGTAATACGTATTAATAGAACAATATTATTATAATCCTGGTTGCTCGTTATCGGGTTCTAGCCCGAGCAGAAGATCTCCAATATTATATTATTCGCTTATTTGATACTTCTGAGTGACTCGACGAATATTTGGAAACCACCGTACCTTTGCCGTTTTTATAGAACACAATGATAGTACGACGATACATAAATTATCTGTAGAAATAGACTTTTATAGTGTTTAACGTTAAATCACGATCATCTTGATAATAAAATCAACAAATTGTGGCATCCCGATGGTTTGTTCATATTTCATAGTTCATGATTTCATATTACAATACCGTTGCAAAACTATTGATAACAGCTGTTGTTGCATGTCAGAAGTGATAAAAACATATGAGTCACATGTACATCGTACCCGATTTAATTTATGTTTCAATTTTATATGAGTTGTAGTAGGTAGTCTGTTAATAAAATAATATACACACCCACGAGGGTAATCCTGTTGCATAGTTTGGTAATTTTTGTTTGAAAACGAAAGAAGTTATTTATAAATAGGTCAAATTGCTTTCAGTCTAGATACTTACACAAATTTAAATAAAAATACTTTGCGTGAATCCTTACCAAATTCTTGTCTCGGAAGACCGCCCGTCTTAATCTACTTTTAAACTGTATGATGCACAATACACCGCTAATGACACCTGAAGGCGAAACCATGTGTTGAGAAGATAATATATTTGAATTAATGTGTTACATTATGTAATTTAAATACGGATTTTTAAAAATAGGTATGCAAGTTATTTAATATATTTTGTTAATACTTGACAATATACTTCTATATTTTTATAACGTTTTGGTTTGAATATTTGGTAACTTGATTTATGTATAATTACAATGATTATCATTCTTATTCTAAAAAAAAATGTCACAGTTTTTATTATATTTGGTTTAAATGTCTAAATATGCCAAGAACGCAGACGATGCAATAATAAACATAGTTTTTACACTTAGGCTAGGTTCACATGAACAGCGTTAAACGCGCGTTTACATTTATGAATGCAGCTGTATTATAAAGTGCGTTTACAGTTTTGCGGCGCGTATTATAAAGTGCGTTTACAGCTTTCCGGCGCGTTGTCATTCATCCTGTGTAAATTTTCTAAACGCGCGTTTAACAGCTCTCATGTGAACTATATAGGCCTAGACGAGAGTGTTAAATATTATTATTATGACTAGTAGTATTTCATGATTCTTGTTTCGCATTGGAACTAATGTTGTAATTACGCCACTTATTCGACAATTAAATTGATTTTGTAATTGTTATTTTATTGTCAAAGGTAATTTATAATGACCCGCCATTTATCTAACTTCCTATTTTTAAAAATGCATAGTGAAAAATAATTCTTGATCTATCCACATAATATCATTCCTAGTTTTATACAACAATAATAGAAACTTTAAAAATTACTAACCTACCAAGTTTGTAGAATATTCATATTGAAATTGTAAGTCTGAGTTCTGTATTCTACATTGTTATGAAATAATAGGATAAACATAGACCATATATTAATAATCAGTAATCTATATAGCTATTGATATTAATAATTAATTTAACTTCTTAGGTTATTTTTTATAAAATAGTTTTATGGTTGGTCAAGAACTTAAAAATATTAAACTAAATTCATTACATTAACTTTAAGAAGAAAATATATTTTATTAATTTATTTCATCTTCTAAAAATAAAAACTGTAAAACTTGCAACCTAATTGTTAATGTAATATGCTTGTTACGTTACACCTGTCTGACGAAAAAAATAACACGGATACCTATAACAGCAATTTCATGTTTTTTTTCAAATTTTACGATAATATGAACCGGTTACAAATTGGAAATTTTTTGTTAGCTTCAGGAACGGAATTCAGAAACATTTATAAAGGTTTTATTCTTAAACGTATGACGTATAGACTTAATATAGGAATTATTGGTCGGTGTCCGGTGATTCAAGTAAACACGCTCTATCCATTGTCAATTGCTAAAAATACAAAGTTTATTATTCATCAGTTCTGCTTTAGAAAATATTATAGGGAAGTACGGGTAGGTATGCTATTTTCGAGAGTTAGATATAGTGTTTAGGGATAAATGTTTAAATTCTGAGAACTTAAATTGTTATACCTACTATTAAAATCGCTTAAAAATCTGCTTGTCGGACTGGTGTAAGCCAGGCATAACAAACAAGTAAACATTTTAATTATTCTCAGTTCTATTTTTATAGATTATCGTGTATAGACATATTATAGTGTCAATACGTATATTTAGGCATGCCACTTAACCAATATTGCTATAGTAAAATTGGCAAATTATTGAGGGACAGCTATGAATATTATGTATTAGCACTGCATTATGTAAGCATTTTACGTCATTTTTAAACTACTATTTCATCAAATGCCCTGACCTCTGATTTAATGCACTGTTATGAGTACCTATATGAGTTAGCGATACCTATTTACTTAACATTTTAATTATTTCTTTATCTACTTGGTTAAAGTTCTAATCTCGTTCTAATAGTTAAGCTTATGTTACCATTCATTGAAAGTTTAATGTTGGAGATAAAAGTAATATACCTTTAAAGTTTTCTGTATAAGATCTGATAATAACAAGTTGGAGTAATAACATTATTTATTTAAACTTTATAACATTATACTTTACATTTATTAGTTGATACTTATTAGTTATTACCTACTCTCTGTAAAGAAGATTGTGGTGGAAGTAGAGTCTAACTACAATAATTTAGATAGTTAGTTGATTATTATTAATTAATAATTAGTATAAAATCCATTCAAAATAATCAGTAAATAATAAATATCACACCTAAGTATTTGACTGAAATTACTCGGGTTATAAAAATACAATTTTATTTACATACATGAATTATATATTTTTTTTTTTTCCGCTTATTAGTATATTTAGTTAAATTGTAATTTGTTCTGGTGTGTTACAAATTGATAACGCAAAATGTATAAAAACTTAACTTTTTTATTCAACATTAAACTATTATTATTATATTATTTATTGATCACTGAGTACTGACACCTTTTGATAGCATTCGTTTTCACCTCAGTGGTTAAGTTCAATTATCATCACCAAAATCTAATATTAATGCATTACTGAATGTCCGTATATACCTATCAAAATATAGTAAATCATTTATATAGATTGAAAATAATATAGTATCTAATAATGTAATGATACTTGACTTAACACGGGTCACTTATAATACTCTTAATTTTTACAGTTAGAGGTCTATTAAATATATGATTCGTATCAATACCAAAATGTGCTCAAATTTTTAAGTAATGATAATAATTTGTTTGGTTTTTTAAGAAGGAAAATGTTTAGGTAGTTTTTGTTGTTCAACAAAACGTTATAAAATGTGATAAACAATTTTATCCAGTCTATGGTCCACATTTTCAAACGCCGAACGTCGTAGGTAAGTTAAACAAATTGGTTAGGTATAATATTATTGACATTCAATAAATCAGTTATAAATGTATTAAAATATACAACTGTTTAATGAAAAAATGTAAATCCCTATTTTATTGTAAAAAAAGTTTTAATTATATATTTCACCCTTGTTTTTGTAATTTTAACCACACCTATGTACATATTATAATATTTTATTGATTGCTTACCTTGTATACTTATTAGTTACTGCCGTTCGTTCGAGACGTTCCACATTAGGCAAAAAAACGTAACACAGAGCGTAATAGTACGTTGTTTTTGGCAGATCTGCGTTGTACCCAATGACGCAGTAAGGTCATTCCTTCGGAAATTCGTTTGTATTCGCGGGACCTCGATTGTAATAAAATGCAAGTAAATAACAGGTAGTTACAGGTACATTCTCTATAGAGTTGAGTTATTGCAATAATACGTATACCCAAATCGAAAGTTTCAAACTTATTTTAAATATAAAACTTTACCAGGAATATCATTAGTCAAATATAAAATTATAATTTATTGATTTAATAATATTATATTCCTATCATTTTTTTTTTGTTAACCCATACAAATTACTAAAACAAAAGTACTTATACAATTAATCAATTATTGTAAGCTTGTCTGTAGAAATCTACCTACAGTAAGACTTGAAGTTAACTTAGCAGAATTATTTAATTCGCTCATAAATTATAATATTGTAATATTGTAATTTAGAGGTTTCAAAACACTGTTAAAACTAGGATGTACGCCACCGGAATGAAAACGGGTCATCTCCTTCCGGTCGACGTTCCATAGGAGTTTTCCACCCACTACTATTATAGTTCCTTAAATTTATATTAACAATGAAAATACAACGGGGAAAGTAGCATCAAAAGGTTTAAATAAGTTTTATTTTCAATGACGCCTACACATGTTTTAGATATCCAACTCCATATTTTATTACAATGTTCGTCGTTCGACGATAACATTTTCTATCCAAGCTAAAATATTTAAAATAAATTAACTCATCTTTAAATTTATTGCACTTTATCATAGTATAAATAAAATTGCATAACTGTTTAAAAACATAATGTACTTAATTTAAAATATATCCAGAAAAAAGGGTGCTAATCGT